TTGCTGCTTCACTTAAGCAAGCATCGTTTGTGAATACGGGCGTTAATTTCTTGTGCAGTTGGTTGGAGATTTGGCGTCATTTATGATCTCAAAATTTAGATCCACTTATTCTATAGACAATAATGAGATTATTGCAATATTAGGCTTTGTTGCCGAGCAGATTAATGTAAGAAGTGGGATACAATGGCTCAATTGATCGGAGTTTCGCACGATGTTGCTGAGTTCTGACCTGCTTAAAGCGTGCGTTTTTATAAACATTATTTACACGGGTACGCGTATATGCGCCAAATTGACGCTTTAATAGACAGACGGCATCAGAATTTGTCCGTAATTTTAAATAATATTTTCCACCTTGCTGGATGCAGGCCGTTCTGGAAAATCATATATTCAGTAACAGCTTGAACGATGATGATGATGCATCAACTCAATTTTTATGCTACTCCTAGCTTTTGCTCTTAGTCTCGCTATCCTTGTTTAAAATTCACATAAAATCAAGATGTAAATACAGATAGACACAGTAACTTTCTGATTTTAGTCATGGATTGACATTGACATTGATCAGTACGGGTTATACAATGAGAACCCACCGTACTTTTTTTCAAATTATACATATTATGACGTTGACGTAATGCAAGTAGTTCATTTACTGAATGGAATTTAAGCCCACGAAAGTGTTTTGTTCGAAGCATTAAAAATTACAATCCAATTTACGATGCAATTCACCCACTGGTACTTCGGCTCATGAATAAATACGCCAAGCTTTTAATACGGGAGCAACATTGAAATTGCAAAAGTTTTTTTACCTTATGACCGTGGTAGAGCATGTCCCTGGGTGAAATGAAAATGATATTATTACATACAGGGTGAATTAATGAAATGCGCGTGGTCTAACTTGAAACTGTTCGAGCCAGTCAAACATTTAATTACTTACTGTAGGCGCGCGAGTTCATGTCCATCGGGGCCTTACTTATTTACTTATTTACTTATACTTATACTTACTTATAAGTTGCAAAAAATATGGAATAAGTAGATAAGGTTGACCTACTTAATTGGTAATAATTGTCGATATCGACATTAGCATTATTAGTTAGGTAACAGCACTACCGCATTCCTCAGGATGGACATGAACTCGTGCGCCTACTGTACTTATCTCTAATCAAACAATAAACTCTCATCTACAAAATTAATAGGTATGTACGAGTAGGTACATTTAAAGTCTTTTTTATCTTCTTCTCAACCTAAAGTCCTCTGCTGGAAATAGACCTTCAAAGATTTTTACAGCGATGGTCTTGCTCTGTCCCCATGTAGGCGCTTCCCCCAACCTTCAAAGGTCGTCCGTCCATACGTGCTTAAGTTACGTCTTCCAGTGTGTGGTCGCCATTTGAGAATGTGTCTGGTCCCAATAACCATCCCCTTTAATTAGGAGCTATGTTATTATTAGTATTTATCAACTACTGATAAGACCTTTGAAATATTTCTGTTTCTTATAGCTCAGACTTTCCACGTATATACAACATCACCCTATATTCTCTGCATAAAATCACTTTAATTAGCAGACATCGATACGCCTCTGTCGCTAATTATCCTCCCCCCACCCCCTTGAAAGGTAAGTAAAGGCAGTCGCCCACTAAAAAGAAAAAGTATCGCGTCCGATACACCTTCTAATAGTCCTTTGAGCTTCCTTCCCTTTTCAGTCTTTCAGTCTACAGCGGAATTAATACTGTAATCGTATAAAGTATCCTTTCATTCGTATCACTTTTGCAAATACCCATTGGAAAGTAATTAGTACGATGTAGACTCATGTATTTTAGTTGTGAATGCAAATGTAGCTTAATTAAAAAGCTCATTTAAATCGGGAATTAATTTTCTGTAAGGATAGAAAGGGATGATGATAACTAAACTTTACATGAACCCACATTGCAACATTTTTATTTTTTGAAAGAATATTAATTTGTATTGCACAGATTACTAAGGCTAAAATAAATATGCTTCTGTTACGATTGGCTTCACCACAAATCAAGCGGCGGCGGGGTTTGACTCTGCGTTCCTTGGATCTTGAGTCAGCTCTTGAGCTATTGTCGCTTTATTTTTTTTATTTTTTTTTTTTTTTTTTATGTGATAGGAGGCAAACGAGCAGACGGATCACCTGATGGTAAGTGATTACCGTCGCCCATAGACACCCGCAGACCCAGGGGCGTTACAGGTGCGTTGCCGGCCTTTAAGGTAAAGATACGCTCTCCTCTTGAAAGCTTGCAGGTCGTATCCGTCCGGAAACACCGCAGACGACAGTCCATTCCACAGTTTGGTTGTACGGGGCAGGAAGTTTCTAGAGAAACGTACTGTTGTGGACTGCCAACCATCTAAGTGATGGGGGTGGAANCGTCTTTTATTTGCCTCCATTTGTTCCTGCAGTGGACACAAAATTAATGATGAAGATGGTGTGTGAGAGAGACACAGAGGTTTTTAATTAATGGCCAATTTACCACTGGCAAATAATGAGGGTCAAACCAAATCAAATCATTTATTTGCATTACATGTGTGGTTCATGCATCGTGTTCGTCGTCAATGACCTCATGATTATGATGGTAAGTATGCGTGAGAGAGACAAGATTGTGCCTTACGTCCTTAGCATTCTCCAAGAACCAGTTCTTGGCTGTAGTGGCGTTGGTGATGGTTTCCTGGGTCGTGAAGGTCTTCGAAGCGAGAGAGAGTAAGAGAGATATTGTGGGCTTTGTCTTACGTCCTTAGCATTCTCCAGGAACCAGTTCTTGGGTGAAGTGGCGTTGGTGATGGTCTCCTGCGTAGTTAAGGTTTTGGACGCGAGAGAGAGTAAGAGAGATATTGTGNTTCTATGTGCGTTGGTAATGGAAAGCATATTTTTATATTTAATTTTATCATTTTCAGAAACCAAACTTAAATCAGGTTTCTTAGATAAAATCAATTCTCGTAGTCCAGGTGTTAATTCATATCGTTCATTATCAATAGTTATGAAATATTTAGTATCACAACCCGGGACATTATCCATTTTAGAAATCACTACTTTTGAATTACCCATAAATACATTTCTATGAAGACTTCGTATTCCACATGGAATATTAATGTTTTCATAAATATCGAACAGATCATCTTTCACTAATGACCTTAGTAAAATATCTCGATCCTCATCCTCATCATCGTACAAGTTAGAGCTTTTATATGAAATGTTTGTTTTTTCACTTTCATCGTCATTACCTTCTTCATCATTAATAACTGTATTACTATAGTTTAAATCTTTGAAATATTCGCTTGGTGTACTATTCTTATGTTGAAATAGTTTATTATCATTATTACAACTATTTTCAACCAAGGTTTTAATAGGAACGGTTACAGGGTTCAGTAACTTTTTCATAGTTAAGTCAGTTTGATCCTCTTCATTTTTCATTTGTTTTATTTTAGCCTTAATAGATTTAACTGATTTAATTAATTGGTGTGTAATATTTTCTTCCATAATCACAACACATCCATCAATTGTAATAGAAATAAAGATACTAATATTTTTACCATGTCAACCGATTTTTATTAGTGAATGATGAATGTTTAAATTATTCATGTTAAAATTATAGCTCAGTACGTTTTACAAAATTATGAATACATCGAACTTTTTTCTATATCTCCCCTCTGCAATAGGCCTGTCTTTATCAATTACTAGAAAATTGTGTTGATCTTTCCAAATTTCTGAGCATATATTTTTAAAAGAATGCCAAGTCATGTCAGTGTTAACATGCTCATTGTAAATATGTTTCAGATTAGTATCGTCTTGTTTAAAGATTATTAAAAAGTTAGCGTTATCACGTACCAATTGTTTTGGTATTTTAGAGTATGTTTGTGACAAGTAAAAGCAATCAATATTGTGGTGTCTACCCATCGTAAAATAATTGCGAATTATTGATTGTTGATTACATACAACGTCATCAAATATAATGATGGAATTCGGGAGAGCATCTTTAGGAAGAAGAACTTCATCATGCTCATTGAATCTAAAAAACTTTACCTTATCTACTCTTTTTAACACATTTTGTAAAAAGCAGTATTTAGGTTGAAAAGCTGTTTTAGAATATAAATAAACGTGACGAAACTTCAAACCATTTTCGTGTAATAATAAACTTATCATGACGTTTGTTTTCCCACAATTTGAAGGACCACAAGTTATACACCTAATTGTATTAGGCAAAAGCTTACTATGCCTCACACCCAGCTGTTTAGTATCAACATTCAAATTATTAACGTCCAACGAAAGAGTTTGTTTAACGAGCTTCATTATGGATGTGAGGGCTGGAAGTATGTGTAGCTTCCTTAAATATGATTCGAAATGTAATCTACCTAGTTAATCATTTGTTTGTTCTTTGTTTGGGTGTAGGAACAATTAAAAGTCTTAAATCAATATATCATAGGCAATTATATTTTCATATAATAATATTATCTACTAACAAATTATAAAACATACAATATTTGAATTATATTTACACTTATTAGTACTAACATACCAGAGACATAGATAGACATACCATTTAGCAAAATACAATTAATATCAGCTTATACACACGGTATAATTTATGAAATGTAAGTACAATATAAAATTTGCGATCAAAATAAAGTATCACAATGCCCCCACGGTAAAGTTTCTATTTGATTTGACATAACTTGTCGTTTATCGTCCTGTCTATTTAAAACCAGTTTGTTAATTCTCTGTGAATATATAACATGTTTTAAAGATCTTATTAAATTCATTTTACATCTTATATTTATATTTTTATGTAATGTGTTTTCATAGTGACTCGATTTCAGTTTCTTAGTTACAGACTTCGAGCGAGAGAGAGTAAGAAAGATATTGTGGGCTTTGTCTTACGTCCTTAGCATTCTCCAGGAACCAGTTCTTGGGTGAAGTGGCGTTGGTGATGGTCTCCTGCGTAGTTAAGGTTTTGGACGCGAGAGAGAGTAAGAGAGATATTGTGGGCTTTGTCTTACGTCCTTAGCATTCTCCAGGAACCAGTTCTTGGCTGAAGTGGCGTTGGTGATGGTCTCCTGGGTCGTGAAGGTCTTAGAAGCGAGAGAGAGTAAGAGAGATATTGTGGGCTTTGTCTTACGTCCTTAGCATTCTCCAGGAACCAGTTCTTGGCTGAAGTGGCATTGGTGATGGTCTCCTGGGTCGTGAAGGTCTTAGAAGCGATGATGAACAGCGCCGTCTCAGGGTTCAGTCGCTTGAGGACCTCGGCCAGGTGGGTCCCGTCTATGTTGGACACGAAATGGACCTTAAGGGGAAGAAATAAAGTTTATTTTGGAATAAAGAACAGAGGGAGTTTACATCAAACGTCACTAGCGAGCGCGGTAAAAAAATATGAAGATTTTAGTTCTTGAAAGCTTCCGCTAGGGGCGCTGTACGATCCGTCATACATATAATGTCACTTTTTTACGCAGTCGACATCGAATGCGTTTGACTTAGGCCCAGAACAGACGGTGAAACGCAACTGCAACGAAACTGAAACTTTCTGATGATTCTAATGAATGAAACTGAAAGTTTCAAACTGGTCGCGTCATGGTCTCTCAACGGACGCTATGGCAGAAACTTAGATGCAACTCAAAAGTAACTAGCAGTTGCAGTTTCGTTGCAGTTGCGTTTCACCGTCTGTTCTGGGCCGTAAACTCACACTACTCCCCCAGAAGATGTAAAATGTACACGAAAATAATCGTTATAAGTTTAAAAATTCTAAATAACAAGTGGAAAGTGAAATTGTACCTTAAGACGAGTGGCATAAGGTTTGAGTGCCTCTGTCACCATCAGGGGACCGAGGTCGGAGCCGCCGATGCCGATGTTGATGACGTCAGTAATCTCCTTGCCTGTGTACCTGTGAAGACATAATCCAATATAAGACATATAATTCATCTGTTCACCAGTAAGCGGTTTGGAGCAGTTTTGAATGTTAACAGCCCCTGAATGTGCTTTTTGTCTGAAGATTCTCATATGTACACAATTCGGGCAATTGATGCGATCTGACCGTACGGGCACGAGCAAAAAACGCAAACCGCATGGCTGACCGATTGAGTCGCTTTTCGGAAGCTCGACACTGCGTCTGAACGTTACACTCCGCACGCATTGGGTCGCATCTATTTGGCATCTACGTCGCAGTCGCTAAACCATGCGATTTAGATACCGAGTCCAAACGTACGAAGACGCGAAATTTCGATGCTGCATCGATAGTCGCTGGAACGCGGGATTCTGATACCGCGTCCTAATTCATGAAGTCGCGATCCTGCATCGATAGAGTCGCTAAAACGTGATTCAGCGTCGATACAGTCGAAAATTGCTAAACGCCGAAGCTGTGCTGTGACCAGGAGGTGAACTCACCCCTTCCACTGGCCGCTGATGACTTCGTTAGAGAACTCCTTCATATGCGCGAGCACGGCGTTGACATCGGGAGTCACGTCCTTGCCGTTCACCAGGATGGGCCTGTTCTGTCTGTTGCGGAGAGCTATATGAGAATGAAGAAGACAGAACAAGCCGTGAGGTCAATTCGGACCCCTGACGGATTAGCAAGCTGAAGTGGCAATGGACAGGGCATAGTACGCAGAACTGACAGCCGATGGCGCAGCAAGGTTCTGGAGTGGAGGCCGCGTATCGGAAAGTGCAGCGTAGGACGTCCACTCACAAGGAGGACCTCATAAAGGTAGCAAGGAGGCGCTGGATGCAGGCCGCTACCAACCGGTCAGTAAGGAAATCATTGGGAAGGCCTATGTTCAGCAGTGGACGTCCTGTGGCTGAAATGATGATGATGAATGGTGATGTGAGGCTGTAAGGAAGACTGAGCCCTTCCACTGTCCAACTGTTTATCACTAACTGCTCGAGCTGTATGTATATGACAGGCCTAAGGATGACGTAGAACAAGGCTCCCTTCTTGAACTCCAAGGTAAACTTACCCCTTCCACTGGCCGCTGATGACTTCGTTAGAGAACTCCTTCATATGCGCGAGCACGGCGTTGACATCGGGAGTCACGTCCTTGCCGTTCACCAGGATGGGCCTGTTCTGTCTGTTGCGGAGCGCGATGTGCAGCACGGCCCGGTCTTCGGTGAAGTTGATCTTCTCGCCTGGGGACAATTTAAGTTGTAGAAGATATTAGGCGATTATCACACTGCACCGCGCTCCGCCGCGGTACGCGGGATGACAGATTTAATATGCATTATATGCAAGTACCTCAGTTTGTATAGAAAACACGCGCGGCACAACACACTGACAACGTGTTTGCGCGCGGGATTTGTTACATGTCGCGAGTATCACACTGTGATACTCGCCTTATAGTGGACCTCTATGCATAGATATGCTAAGTACAAAAAGTCGTAAGAATATCATTAATTTTAGTTGCCGAGACCCACAAACAAAGTAAGTAAGGTATACTGTAACTGTATCTATACTTACGAGCAAAAGTATGGAATCACCCCTTTATGTTCCGAGCGGTCTTAAGAACTGAATGACTATGTATTGTATGTATCTGTGGTATCAATTTTAAATTTATAATATCTCCTTTAAAATGGTACCATTTTTATTGATCTTCTATTAGTCATTTAGTTCTTATGATCGCTCGGAATAAATAGGATGATTCCATATTTTTGCTTGCGAGTGTAATATCATCCTACTCTGTAAAAAATACTCAACAACACAGTAGGAGGTCCATTGTGACAGGTTTGATTCATGAGATAGAGGTATCTCAAAATGTTACAGTATTTACAGAGACAGACATTGTCATGTTATTATTTTTAACGAAATTCTGAAGTCGTGCAACTGATAAGTATTTGTTTAGTAGACTGATGAATAATAATTAAAACTAAACTAATAAAATTAAATAAAAAGAAACTGCCATGGAATGTAGATCCTGCGGATAGCAACATATTTTATAAGTAGAATTATGATTGGTCAAGAAGATTCACCACTCCATTAATTGCTGGCAAGGTCATCATTGCAAAAGAGACAATTGGTATGACCTATCAATTTTAGCTGTGATATCAACATCAACAAGAAAATTTATCTGTTATGCCATAGGCCAGGGGTCATCAGCTTTTAAAATGTTAAGTTGTGGCTCTTCATCTATACTAATATTATAAAGCTGAAGAGTTTGTTTATTTGTTTACTTGAACGAGCTAATCTCAGGAACTACTGGTCTGATTTGAAAAATTATTTCAGTTTTAAAAAGCTTATTTATCGAGGAAGGCTATAGGCTATATACTATTACGATACAAGTAATATGAGTAGAGCAACAATGAAAAATTATGCAAAAAAGGGTTTTCACGCGTACGAAGTCACAGGAACCTGGAACAGTTACTTTATTATAAAAACCCTTAAAAATTAAAATCCCAAAGCTGTGTAGCTCTTTAAAAATTGGAATTCTTTTTTTGACTCTTTTATCTTAAAAAGTTGTCAACCCCTACACTAGGTGTCACTTACCACTGAACATAGCATCTCTAGCCTTCTCCACTCCACGGCTCTTGGCCAGGTCAAGCAGCATTGCGAAGGTGGCGTCATCTATGCGGTTCTTGGAGTAGTCCAGTAGGATCTCACCATCATTGGGTGTTGGGACACGTAGGCTATAAAACAGCAGAAAGAAGTACATAATATTTAAAGCCACATAATTATAATTCTCTAAAACCTTGTTGCATATTATATTATTACGAAAGTAAAGAAGGCAAGCTTAATGTCATGTGAAATTCTCTTCCAGTCAACCCTAAGTACTTCATTCTTGTTGTGTCAAATAGGTAAATTACTTTATTAAATAGGTACATGACTAAATAAATAATTTAATGTTCACATTATTAATAAATTAATGTAGACACTAAATACTACTGTGGCCTCTTGCTTTTTATTTTTGGCATTAATTTGGTTTACGGAATAACTATTATTTTAGTATACAATCAATATGTAGTTACTATCATAGCTATCTATGTATAATAAAGATACACCTTGCATTTCACAATGTAAAATCATTTCAGGTCAGAGCAGAGCTCATGATTTTTTCTTTATTCTTTATTATATTATGACTACTTTTACTTTTTCTTAGTGGATATTGCTCCGCGAATACAACGAAAAGTGTCATTGATCCCGTACGACCTTTCAAAGGACTTCCAAAACTAAGTGATATAACTTTACGAAATGTATACGTAAAAAGACTAAACTCTTCATAATTTGATAGGAACACTTTTATATAATATTTAAGAAGCAAATGAAGCCTTATTGAGTTTTATTTAATTAGTTTTTTTTAATAATAAAGATCAAATACCTGAACTTGTTAAATCTACCGGCATCTTGTTGAAACAATTGCGGAATGTTAAGCTTCTCTCCGTTGGCATTGTAATGCTCTTGTAGCTTTTGGAATGCTGGGTCTTTACGCAGAGTAATCTTGGGCTCCATGGTAATTCGCGAGGAAAGTAAACGGATTCGAAATATACCCCGCGGCTGTGAAAGTACCGACAATACTGATAAGAACTGTCGATGTGACATTTCTCAAAGGCATGTGAAGGTTATTTGCGTTTCGTTTCTGCGGTGAGATTACAACTTTTATTAAAAGCAATTTCAGTATTAATAAATACCTACCAAAGTAATCTAAATAACCCTCCTCCTAGCGCAGTTGGGTAACAAATCGTTTAAAGGACAACAAACAAAAGAAGAAGAAGTAAGAAATGGTTTGAAAAGCAACTTCTGGTTGTGTACCTGATCGATTATTTCAATTGAAAAGTGTGAACCAATGTAATTGGTTTTCCAAATCACACATCACATCCCTAAATACATGATACGTGATTCATTTGACACTGACAGTTAATTTATTGTTTTTCGCGAACTAAAAATTGCATTGCATCGTATTTTCAACAACTATTTTGCACATCGATGTAGATTTTTGGGTCAAAAATGTCGTTCATTAAGTTCGAAAATGTTGGTTCATTTTTGAGACACTGTAACGGGACGACTCTGCGGTATGACCAGGCATGTTTGGAGATAGACACTGAGCATCCGATTAGTTTTTGGAATCAGTATGAAGAATGCGAGGGTTGCGTGTTGCTGAAGACAGCTCATTTGCCATCTACAGGCTCCATTGTGCTCAGTACTTTGAGTCCAGCTCGGTATGCCATCAAGAATGGAGAGGAAGAGATCTGCAATGGTAAGCACTTGTTTTCTTTGTTTTACTGGCCAAAATGTAGGTAAGACTTGTTTTTGTACAAGTTTTCGGCGAGTCAAAGGTATTTTTGCAGATTTTTTCTTCTTATTGAAGATGTTGAGATATTTACGCAGTTTATAAGGAAGATAATGGGTCATTCCATCGTTTCGGGTGTTACGTTCGTACACACATATTCAACAATTTCTTGTATTTTGAAATAGTATTTTAATAATATTAGTGTCTTAATCTGTCNTCAGGCTATAATTTACATACTATTCTCGTATTGAAAGCGGTTAATAACTTCATAAAATAACATCAAAGACTTGAAATATCACCTACCGAAAATTCAAAATTTCCAAAGCTTGCTACGTGTAAAGCGGCACCCAACGGCACAAGAATTGTATGTCATCTTGATCGCCATGTATGATGCAATAACTCATGTGAGTACCAGCCCTTCAGTTCTATTCAGTTTAAAAAAAATCCACTTTAAGTGTTTTTTTCCATACAAAAAAAATTAACATATTTTTTTTCTCACACATGGAGCTACTAATACCCTTCATACTATATTAGTAAAACAAAGGGAGGTATACTAAACACAATACATATTTTTATTTATTAATTTCTGACATTAAGTTTCTATGGTATGGGAGCTTCATTTTCAGACCACTGTGCGACGGGCGGCAGCAGTGAGTGTGCGAGCTTTAGTATATCATGATTTTATTTACAGGCGCCCAAATCAGACAGGCGACGTCACAAGCGCTCAAAAACATATCCGATTCTGCCACCAAGCTGGTGAAGACGCCTCTGTCTAAACACGGCTCGAAAAGGACGAATCAACCTGACGAGTCCTGCAGCTCGAACCGGCAGAGGGACGACCTGATGTATACGGACGACGACGATAAGCCGCACGCGAAAATAGACAACATTGTGCAGAGGCACAAGGACGAAAAGAGCAAAGACGAAGTTAAAAAGACCACTGAGAAAAAACATGACAGAAAATCTTCCAATGAAAATCCTGGTAAGGATAAAAAGGAAGATTCTCATAAGCCCACTAGCGACAGAAGTAAAGACAAAAATGAGAGAACACCAAAGGACGACAGGAAGAACCGGACAGACCCTGCGAGTCGGGTATCAAAAGAGGAACCGTCCACAAGTAGCAATCGAGATAACAGCGAAAAAGATAGGAAGAGATCTCGAGATGATAATCATCCTAAGAAAGGTAATTTGTTTGTGTTTATTTTTGGACCATTTGATTTCAGTACCCCATTCTTTTTATGGTACGAACGACAGCATATCAACCTAAACACAGTGGCGTCTTACCTCGTTGTAATACAGGCTATTTTGCAACAAAAATGTATAGGTTGATGTGCTGTCGACTGTACTTTTGATCTTGTTTACTTGATTAAAAGACATGCCGGAAATTGGCGTCTTTTTTTTTCGCGCAGTCATCGACCAAACCTTTGATTACAAAATAGTGTAATAAACCAAACTTACTATGACATGTATACCTCTAAACTCAGTCTGAACTGAGTTACGAGCATTAGAAGTTTGATAATTTTACATACTATTTTGTAATCAAAAAACAAAGTTTGGTCTATGGCCGCGCGAAAAAAAAAGACGCCACCTTCCATACAAAAGCTGGCATTGCCATTTAAAAAATAGTTTTTTGGCTGGACGTAAACAGCTCGAAGTCGCTCGCTATTCGCTTCACATACGGCTTACGTCCAGTATAGAAAGTATGAAAAGCTGATACACTAATGATGTTTGGCAGCTGGCGGGGACTTCCAGTCGATCCTGAAGGGCGTGGTGTTCGTGCTGAGCGGCTACGTGAACCCGCGCCGCGCCGCGCTGCGCGACTTAGGGCTCAGTATGGGAGCGCGCTGCGAGCGCGACTGGGGACCCAACTGCACGCATCTCATGTGAGTCAACCATTATTATGATTTGGTAAAGCCTGGTCCGTGAGTACGTAGAATCGCATCCAATGACCCCAAGCTGCCCATCCTTGTCGCTCGCACGTAATTATGTTGCTCTCGCGCTCGCACACTCACTGCAAGCTACGCGCGAGCGATAAGGATGGGTAGCTTGGGGTCATTGGACGGGATTCTACGTGCTCACGGACCAGGCTTTAGCTGCCTTATCTTTTTGCTATGATATTACTTTAACCCATTTAGACCGATAACTATTTTTGTAAATAAAAATAGATTTTTCGGCAAAAACTTACAAAGGGAAGCCTAAAAATCATGAAAAAAATATTTTAAAAAATAATCCATAAATAGGGGGCCATGGGGAGCCCGTACCATATAGGGTACAGTAGGTCTATAAGCAAGCGAAACGTAGTCGTTGTTCAAAGAAGATTTTTAGTTATTTTTGTATGATATAAATTAAAAATAAAATCACAAAATCACTAGTATCACACTGGGCATATCTTGTAAGACGTTTTCTATGATACTAACCACATTTGGTTCTTTTTTCCTACCTTCTCCGAAGTTAGTGAGGATAGCTGAAGAAGACCTGGTCCTCTTCTGATTTGTTACATTTAGTGCTATCCATAATCGCAATTAGCAACACTACGATGGGAATTTAGCAAATCCATCGAAGAAAACTCTGAGGGTTATTATTTACATTGACACTATCTTTATCGCCTAAATCTTCGTCAGTCTGATCATCATTAGCGGTCATCTGACAAGACAGCAGTAAAAAAATACCAAAATTGCTTTATGTTTGCTGAAATTATAAATTTTTTCATGAGTTGTGGCATTACAGTGAAGCATCAGTAGCCTAAAACAAATAAAAATAATAAAAATTAAATTATGTTTTTTCGCATGATTTGCTCATGCATAGACCTACTGTACCTTATACGATACACCTATTTTAGACTGGAATAAACCGTATAAAAATAATATCAATAACATTTTTTTTTGTAGTCATGATATCTATTTTACTCTATTTTTAAAATAAAATTGATAAATAACATAATTTACCATGAATAATAAGAAATTATACCTTCTTAAATACATTGTAAATATTGTTTATGTTTTTTGTCGAGGAATTTCTTAAATATTTCCGAAACCACTTGTTAAAACATATTTTTAAATATTTTTTTGTAAAATAATAACTTTAAGCTTACTATCATAATCATTTTTACAAATTAACAACAGTTTGGTACTTCGAAATATTTTCAAAAATATACCGTACCACATAGGGTACGGTAGGGCTAAATGGGTTAAGCCTAGGCGACCGATTTTTAATCTTTTTTTTTTTAGTCGGCCGATAGTTGGGCCCAATTCTAATTTGTTTGAAGAATCAATCGGTTTCGGTGTAATGTGCGCACTTCCATACATGTTTTTAAGTGTGATATGCTGTTTTGTACAGGTCTGATAAAATATTATGAATCCTATTAATTTAGAGCAGTTAAACAAATTAAGTTCCACTGACTGAGAGAAAAACTGATTTAAAACCGATAGCTGTTTCATCACACCATCATCATTTCAACTACAAGATGTCCACCGCTGAACATAGGCATCCCACAATGGTTTCCAGGTTAACCGGTAGCGACTTGCATCCAGCTCCTTTCAGCTACCTTTATGAGGTAATCTGACCACCTTTTGGTCGTAGCGAAACCCAAAATTATGACATGACATGTTGTTGACACTAAACCCCATAATAATCAAAGTTGCACCTATAGTCTATCCAATATAGCTTGATGAGAATGACAGCTGCCATCAAAAGTAACGACATAACTTTGTAGTAGCGATCAATGAGAGCTAAATATTGGCGGACAAGAAATAATTCACGTCTGACCTACAAACAATATTTTCGACGACAGTGCTTCCAATAAAAATGTTAATTTCGTTTAAATGCAGCGTTAAATTACTCCAATAAGTAGTAATTCGAAATTATAAAAATCAAGCTAGAGTATTAACGACGTCTCTACAAGGTTATCTCGAGTTACAAAAATGTTAGTGTTGGGACATATCGACAAATGTCACATTAAATTAAAACTATTTTTTTTACATATTTAACAAATTTTTTTTCCAACTAATTTTTTAACATATTTATGTCAAGATATACGTTTTTCTAAATGTTCACTATTAAAAACCAAAAAACATTTCATTCCTAAATAATCAAACATCGAAAATCAATCACCGGTAATTTTTTGGGTATTCATAGCACCGTTGCACCGAGAGGAAAAAACCACTGAAGAACACCGATGATAATGACTACGACTTAGGTTGTACACCCTTGACATGAATTTTAAATTTTACTGTCTTTAAAAGACAATGCCGGAAATTGGCGTCTTTTTTTTTTCGCGCGGCCATCGACCATACCTTGTTTTTTGATTACAAAATAGTGTAATAAACCAAACTTACTATGACATGTATACCTCTAAACTCAGTCTGAACTGAGTTACGAACATTAGAAGTTTGATGATTTTCATACTAAGATTTGCTTTTTGCGCGCAAGTTTTGTAAGAAATTGCAACAAAATAGTGACATTGTATGTGTAAACAAACAATACCATCCATTATAGGCTCCAGACATCAGTATGGAGCAGAATCAGAGCAATAAAAAAATAGCGCAATATTTTGTTGCAATTTCTTACAAAACTTGCGCGCAAAAAGCAAATCTAGTATGAAAATCATCAAACTTCTAATGCTCGTAACTCGGTTCAGACTGAGTTTAGAGGTATACATGCCATAGTAAGTTTGGTTTATTACACTATTTTGTAATCAAAAAACAAAGTTTGGTCGATGGCCGCGCGAAAAACAAAAGACGCCACCTTCCATACAAAATCTGGCATTGCCATTTAAATTATAATTGTCATTTTTATGAATAAAGATATGAAGAAAAATTGGGTGCATTTTTTATTTCATTTTTTCAAAAACTTATCGATACATCTATGTGAACCGTACGAAACATACCCAGCACAAGTCACATTCGTTTGACAGCCGTCATTCTAATCAAGCTATATTGGATAGACTATAGTTTTACTCCGGCTTAAATTGTTATTCAGTATGGATATGACATTTTAATCCAGTGTTGATCCTAGGTGTACCGTTTTATTAATAAGGGGTAAGAGTTCAGTTAATGAGGGTTTTCGCGAATGAAAAATCCGCCAGACGGCAATACGTAGACGCGAGGTCCAAATGCTGCATGATTTGTTATTTTTGACATGACATTGACAGATATGTCAAAATCCACCAATCACGCAACACTCAGACCCCACATCCACGTCCCGCCATCTAGCGGATCTTTCATTCGCGAAAACCCTCATTACGTGCACCTTCGACAGTTGCGCGTTCCCCAACACGCCGAAGCTGAAGCAGGTGCGCGCGGCGCCGGGCGGCGGCACGGTGCCGGCGGCGCGCGGCGAGTGGCTGGAGGAGCAGGCGCGGCGCTCGCGGCGGCTGCCCTGGCGCGCCTTTGCCACCGAACCGCAGCATCAGCGCCCGCTCAGCGAGGATGAAGAAGCGGACGAGCCGGCCGATGACGGTCAGTGCTGCCAGGCCTGTTCATCTCCGCGAGTTTACATCGAAAACAAAACACGCACGATGGCCCACCTACAGGATACTATTCGACAAGGCCTCACTCACATACGAGCGAACATTGACTCACGCACGCGTATTCTTGTGTATGATGGAAGAAAATAAAGAAAATGGTGTACTAAATACTGTGCAGTATTTAACTGCCTAAATATTAATAAAAACACAGAATGAACTTTTTTTAAGCTGCCCCAAGACACTGAGAGGTAAATAAGTAGTTAATATTATTCATGATAATTCATGCTAAATCATGTATTTCCTCCGCCATTTTCCGCAGTTTGGCACCTCACGTCACATCATTTTACCGAAGTCAGCCCTATAGCTTCGGCGCAGTGCCGATCACTGACGTTTGTCAACAAAATGGTGCTTGACTCTTGAGATAGGCTAAATTACACCATATTGTTAATGACATTGAGCATACATTTTTTTAAATACCTTCGCAAAGTAAAACTTCTGTACGTAGTACTTATTATTATTCTGTGGTGTTACTTTTTTAAGGCCTATTTAAACCTGAGCGATATTCGCTGCCGCTGTGGGTAGAGGTACATACCGCGCGGGTTTCGCTCAGGTATTTAGTATCAAGTACCGCGGCTAGAGCGTTTTCTCTGCCGCAGACGGTAGCAAATACCGCTTAGGTCTGAACAGTATTATTACCGCATACCCACTGGGTTTTCTCTGCCGCAAACGGTAGCGAATACCGCTTAGGTCTGAATAGGCCTATAAACGTTGTTTTGTGTCTCATGGTATTGTCAACAAAAGACATTGCTTCAAAAAATTACATTTGCGTTCATTCATATTGTCCGTCTCTATACAAAATACATTCACAATTTAAATAAGAACACCCTAAGCACAAATATTTGTATTATGCGAAGTCGCAGCCTCCATTTGACTCACCGGGCTGTCGTGAAGAGGTAAGACCGAATAAAAAGCAGTTTTGTGTTATATTTTAATTACAGAATGTGACACCGATGACGAAATAGAAAAAGCGTTACGAAAACAAAAGAAACGTCGCACCGAAAGTTCGCCCAGCCCTCCGAAGAGCAAAAACTCCCAAAATGAGAGCAGCAAACGAGACAAGAACGTGTCGAATACGTCCCGAAATAGTGACGCGAACGTTTCGAATACGTCACAGAATAATGTGTCAAACTCGTCGGACGTGATGTTCGTTCGAGACGAGCGAATGCAGGGGAATGTAACAGTCAACGATTCCGACGACGAGAAGACTGATGAAGATGACGGAGGTAATTGATAGGTTAGAGTTTAAACTGCCTGCATTTTTTTAGTTTCAGCTTCCTTACTAACTAGACGCATAGTTATTTTATATCAAAATTTGCAGATAGTTTTTTTTTGTATGTTGATCAATCTACATCTAACATTAGAGTTGTTGAATTTACTACCTACTAATTTAATAATATTATTAACGCTACTTCATAAATGCTTAGGCTTAGGTACTCCACTCCACGACACTGAATTTCACCAATAACACTTCTTGTTGTATAGTAGCTCTGCACTGCATGTCTACCATCAGCTGTTGTAAAGTATTTGGTCTCATAAAGTAGATCCTTGCCTCCACCTTACGCAGTGTTTTATTATTCCAGAGGCCAGCGCGGTGCGCATCGACAAGGCGCGCTCGCTGCCGAACATATTCGCGGGCCGCACGTTCGTCATCGACGCGAGCGCGCGCGACACCTTCGACGCGGCTTTGTTGGAGCGCTACGTGCGGGCCTACGGCGGCGTGCTAGTCGATGTGAGTATTATGTGACTTTAGAACAAAATATACCATGTAAATACTAAGGCTGAGTTGCACCACCTAACTTTAACGGTAACTATGACGATAACCGGTGCTTTTTGGATGGAGTTTAACAGATTTTTGAAGTTTGTCAAAGTTAAAGTAAGATGGTGCAACCCTTAGTCGTCAGAAGTCATCAACGCAGCTGACAAAGCTGCATCGTATAGTTGACGACTTCTGATAGTTTTTCACGATCTTTCAGTTTACGAACATAAATATCGGCTGGCCGTAACATTCTTATTCAAACGGTTGTGGTACATAGTCTAAACATCTAGTCGCATGTATACTAACGCCTGTATTAGTATTTCGAAATGTCCAGGATCATCATTGACCTCCATCCCACTGGACAGGCTGTCACAAATGACAGCTTATTTTTGTGCCAATTTTAGGCGCCACTACGAGTGTTCCGAGAGCTAATTTTGACGTTCATTATATGGAGTAACCATAGGAGTAAGCGAGAAAGAAAATCACAAACTTTAGTTCCGTGGACACTCGTATCTGCCTACAGTATGGCCTACAGCGCCAAAATGGCGAAAATCAAATAGGCACAAAAAATATGACATCAGCCAGTCCAGTGTGTATAGATGTCAGCGAGGATCATCAATTTTCAGGTCTGAAACCTCAGTAGGATGGGAAAGTGAATGCTATAGTCTGGTCCGTGAGCACGTAGAATTTTGTCCAATGACCCCATGCTACCCATCCTTATCGCTCGCGCGTAATTATATTGCTGTGGCGACTGTGCGACGGGCGCTCGCAGTGAGTGTGCGAGCGCGACAGCAACATAATTATGCGCGAGCGATAAGGATAGGTTGGGTTCATTGGACAAAATTCTATGTGCTCGGAGACCGGGCTTTAACCCTAAATATTTTGTGTCGGCAGGCGGAGACGCTGGACGAGGACAGCAGCGTGAGCTACGTGCTGTGCGGAGCGGGCGGGGGTGCGGGCGCGGGCGGGGGCGCGGGCGGGGGCGCGGGCGCGCGCGTGCGCGGCGACTGGCTGTGGCGCTGCCACGCCGCGCGGGACCTCTACCCCGTGCAGGATTACCTGCTCACGTGAACTCTGCTCTAGGGTTCCAACCCACTTGAGAATATCTGAATAGCGATTCAGTTTTTTACTATAGGGATGATGACTGGGTAATGAAATCGAAATTCTATTTAGTCTGTCACAGATAATAAAAAAAATTTGGACACATATTTTTTTAATTTTTTTCATAATCGAATAATTACAGTATTATATTGAGTTGAAATATCGCGTGACGTAACGCGACATTTCAACTCGATGTAGCACTGTTATCATTTAATTATGAAAGAAAATAAAAATATGAGTAATATTTTCTAATTATCTGTCTGACAGACAAATAATTGAAATTTTGTCATCTAGCCTATTCTACAATCGATATAAACGAAAGAGCAAAAATTATACAACCCCCAGAAACATCCTCTGTGCAGAGCATCATTACTCTATAATAAAGAAAAGTATGACACAAAATATACATTTTGTTTATCTCATTAACAAGATTATAAAGAATATTACAACTGTAATACCACTAATAAAATCAATTAATGACTGAATAAAGGCAAGTAAAGCATCATATTAGGCCGGCAATACACGGACCGCTTGAAGCAGTCAGGGTCGACAGCTTAAGCTGCGACTGCACAGTGAACTGCGTAATTCTATGAACGCACATACACGAACCGCTCGAGCGGTTGCAACTGATTCGGACGGTCAGTCGCCAGCCATACACTGACTGCTCGCGCTGTCGACAGCTCTCGCGCAGTTACCTCCGCCAACTTTCTTCATTCCACGGCGCGCGCGCTTGTCATTTGTTGAGCAGTTAATACCAACTGCTCGAGCAGTTATCGCTGGCAGCTTCAAGCTATTGACTGTAAGAGCGGTCCGTGTATGTTGATCACTAACTACTCGAGCTGTCCGTGTATTGCTGGCCTTAAACTACAATGAATATAAACTAAAAGTGAAAAATATAATAACTGATTAGTGAAGTTTGTGGCCTTATTCCTAAAAAAATTATTCATAAGATAATAGAATCAACAATCATAAAAAATACTTTTAAATGCTCAAAATGCGCCAAATTGTAAAAAAGCTTTTAATGTAATGTACATTTTGTTGTAATGTTTAGTTTGATTTATAATAAAATGTTATCAATTTACTTGTACTTTAATTTCCTAGAAGTAATGGTTGGACACCATAAAAATAAAAAATGTTACATGTATTGTGTAGAATCACTTTATTCAATAAAAATATGTGGTTTTAATCAAATAATACCACTATGTGACTTTCACTTCTCACTGTTTCTGATAGTTCCTCAATTTTATTCAGTAATAATAATATTACAATACATACAATGATCCAAACCAGCCAAGCACAATTACGTCGAGGTGAGCAGGGTTAATTTCTCGTTCAGTTGCAGTTGTGTTTTGATCAGCTGGGCTAGTGTCACCACCTGGAAAATCACAATAATAATGTGTTAATATTGGAATATTAGTAATAGTAATCAAGTGGCAGTGGGCGGGGCATATTTGCATCGTCTCTACGAGCTATTGCTCGTAGAGACGATGGCCGTTGGGGCAGAAAAGTTCTCGAGCGGGGACCACGGGCTGGAAGTCGTAGCGTTAGCAGGCCTCCTACTAGGTGAACCGACGATCTGGTAAAGGTCGCGGGAAGAGCCTGTACCTCTAGCATGGACAACTTTCGTATTTGACAAAATTTGATACTCAACCTTCGAATTTGAATGATAAGGTGACAACTTTGATTCTCAAAAAAATAGGTTTCGTTTAACCATTTCTGATACTAAGTTCACTTTACGACACGTTCACAAGGGGCCTGTTCTAGTTTTCGTGCTAAATCTTGATGGCGATGATTCGAATACGCAAACGATTCGAACTCGAAAGTTTTTTGTGCTAGCCGTACTGGATGCGGGCAGCGCAGGACCGTGCATTGTGGAAAACCTTGGAGGAGGCCTTTGTCCAGCAGTGGACGTCATTTGGTGAAACGAACGAACGATTAGAATATAAATACATGACTAATATTTCCGTATCGATACTACAAAGTACATGAAAACATGGTTGGGCAGCGTCGGTGAAGGTGTCGGCGGCCAGGTTGGGCAGCGAGCTCACTAGAGATGGGGAGTGTACACGCACCATGAGCAGGTCCTTGACGCTGGAGGCGAAGGCGTCGGTGAAGGTGTCGGCGGCCAGGTTGGGCAGCGAGCTGACCAGCTCCAGCAGCTGGCGGCCGGCCGCGTTGTTGCCCACCACGCGCTCCGCTAGCACGTCTTCTACGTATTGCAGCACCTGAAACCATTTCATTTATTATGCCTCAACTAACCTGAGAAACTATTGATGACAACAAGAATCTTTTGAAAACTTCATGGACAAGATACATTATTTATTAGGTGAACGGGTTCGTTTGTTGCAGCCAAAAGACGTCCACTGCTGAACAAAGGCCTCCCCAAGGATTTCCACAGACAGGTCCTACGCCACTCGCATCCAGGCATCTCCCGCGAACGGGTACTAATGACTTGCACACTAACTGCGGCCGCCCGTCGCACAGTCGCGACAGCAATTAGGCGCGAGCGATAAGGATGGGTAGCTTGGGGTCATTGGACGAAATTCTACGTGTTCGGCGACCGGGCTTTAATAAACAATATATTCACTGACTAATAAACGATATTATTAAATGAAGCATTTATTATTTAGTAGCAATGTAAAAAAATCTATGTCTGTCTATCTAAGTATAGTTCAAACAATTACAGCATAGTAATCATATATCTAAAAGGAAGTAAGACTGCTTGCCCTCAATGAGGGCTATCGTTTTTATACTTAACAGTTGGTACCCCTGGCGATTGACAGGACCTTACTCTACAGTGGCGCCATCTTGATGAGTGCAAATGCAATAGTCCTCCTACCACTTTAGCGCTCACAAGTTGGCGCCACTGTCTTCGCTACTAGCAAGTGACAGGACCTTACTCTACAGTGGCGCTAACTGGTGAGCGCTAAAACGATAGCCCTCATTACAAACGCAGTGTGGATGTACAGTCACGGAATGAAAAGGTTCGTCAGTTTTCAAATTGATTCCTTCAACGAATCGCGAGCACATATGAGGCGTCTAGTTTCAAATCCCGCTAAAACGATTTTGATAAGATTTCGAGAAATTGAAAAAAACCGCTTATCCATATAGCTTTGGCCTTAGGCAAAAAAATATATGATACGAATTATTATTGTCATCTGGCAATACTAACAGTAGTTCCTATTCACCTTTAAATTAAATATAATTTGAATTATAATGAAAACTATTTTCATTTTGGCGTACTTTGTTACGAACATTCCGTTTTAATGGGATTTGAAACGGACATGTTGTATTTTAGCGGGATTTGATAAGAACAAATTTTAATGCATGAATGGCGTTCTACAATAAAGTCTAATATTTTAATATTAATAACCCAAAAAATGATAAAATAAATAATTCAATCCATTCTATAATATTCATAGCAATTGCACTTATTGGTTAGGTTATTAGATTAATCAAGTTTTATCGGGTTATTAAAAAAGAACAATTAAATTACAGCATGTAAATAAGAAACTTTTATAAATTATTTTCTCAATCTCGTCTTTGCCTTTTTATAACATAATATTGATTCCTAGACATCTGGACATCAGGTGATCCATCTGCTCGTTTGCCTCCTGTCACATAAAAAANGACTCGTCCCACTCGTAACGACGTCACGTGACTGCCTATCACTTGTGTACGTGAGACAGCGTATTGTATCTATCTAGTACGTAGATACAAACACTACAACTGTCTACACTCCCCAACAAAATTGACACTAATGACATAAGATTTTTGCCTCACTCTTGACGAAGCGTTTGTATGAAGACTATCCATCTAGGTTTTATTAATCTAAGATTTTATATTAAAATATCACCAACATGTTTATACTAATCTAGATTTGTACAACAATTAGTAATTAAATAATTCATTTCCATGGCATTAACCAATTTTAAGCATAGAAGAAATGGGTACTGCTAATTTGGTTTGAGTGTATTGCATCAAACATTTTAATTCAATCAATAATTAATTTAAAAATAAATACCATTATTGGATAGTGATCGATCACAGCATTCCTCTAGTTAATTACGTTGCATGTATCTGCTGTATTTTACGTAATTGTATTACTAGATAGGTAATTAAACTTCTGCTAATAATTTGATTGTTAAATAATATATGTCGGCGCGCGGGGCGCAATAAATTAAATAACTTAATGTTATAGTTCTCACAACACTTTCAATGTGTTAGCTAGTTTATTGCTATGGAATTTTAAGCAGCGCCAAAGCTCTTATGCCAGAGTTAAGTGCGCGCCTGGGAACGAAGGTGACATAAATCTCCATGTTGCCTGACGTAGTTGTGAACCCGTTCAAGTGCAGTATTGATGGATTAATAGCTTTACAAAAACTTCAGGTACAGAGCCCTGGAACGTAGAGATTCTGGGACTCAGTCTTAGAGTCATTGCANCTACCATGCTATTATCTAGATAAGATAGATCATTAGATAGGACACATCATTGTGTAGGTATTGATGATTATAATGATTTTTCTAGTTTCGCATCATTGCCACAATTATTTTTATTTTTGTTAAGTGGGGGGAAATTGCACGCCACCTATGCGGTGTACAAAACTGAATTTCATTCGGAGAAACTGAAAATTTTGAAGATCCTTAGTAAATACTTGAAGGCCAAGAAAGGTCAATGTTTGGAATCTTTGCAGATTAATTCTTATATTATGTTTTTAATATTAGATAATATTAATAAAATAAAATAGATGTTGGACCATGGGTCCCCAGAAGTTTCCCCGTAACACGCAGCCCCCCATCCCGTAGTTGAGACATCGGAGTACTATATTTCATGACACTTAATATAAGTTTATGAATAGCCTGATATAATTGCAATTTTTCTATGTCCGAATATAATCATGTATTATATAGGATCGTTTCAGAAGTGAAACCACAGCGTTGGAGTAATCTTCGTTTATTTGCGTAAACTTCACAATAACAGTTTATTAAATTACAATTTTAACTATTTTAACTAATTACACGACAATAATTATAGATAGGTCACAGTACAAATGGGCATAGTCACAGTGTGCTTAGTAGACGACTGCTCCAGGCGGAGGCTTTGAACAGAATGCCGCAGTGCTTGCCCCGTGCAATGATCACGGCTCGCTCTCAAGCCGGGTGGCGTGACCGGTTGTGACGTAATCGATCGATCGATGGTTATTTAAGTAATTAATTAACTTGAAAAATATAATACAGTGTAATTTAAATAAATAAATGATGAATTAATATTTGATGATGATTATTCATTATGATTATTACGAATATTGCTTACAACTCGGCCATCCTGTTCAAAGCGAGTCCGTTCGCTTTAATCATTCTTATGTGCTATATTATTTATATTTACCTACAATATTTAATATACATGATTCATTAATCTTACAATGTAAAAAAAAATCATTATTATTATCTCACAAAATTAATCTACTTACTTACTAACTACTACTAATCTATTATACATCGTACATAATATTATTTATTAATTATACAAATTATTTACATTACATCCATACAGTTAAATTAAATTTTTATTTAATTATTAACATTGTCAATTTCATTTTCCTCATTTTCACTGTCATCCGAATCAATATTTCTATTAAAAGTCATCCATGGTTGTATTTTATCTAAAGCTACTACATTTTCGTATCGTCTACCTTGTTTACGAGTAAGAGGGGTATCTTCTATGAGATATCTATCATTCGGGAGCACTTTTACTATACGATATGGTCCTTGATATTTATTAACTAATTTTTGCGATTGCCCATCATGAGGCACCTGACGTTCGACTCTGACTAGGTCACCCTCTGAATAACGTGTTCCTATTTTCCGAGATTTATTAAATCTTTCAGCGTCTTTTGCCTGTTGTTCTTTAATTTTCTGACTGACATTTTCACGTACGTCTACTAATTCTTCCGGACTAGTAACATTAGTTGTATCAGTGATAACGTCATTTAATATACCCTGAGATCGACTGGTAATATTGAACCCAAACAGAAGCTCAGATGGGCTTTTTTGGGTAGTCTTGTTCATCATTGTATTCAAGCCCACCTGAACGTCTGAGATGTGTTCGTCCCAATCTTTGCTGTCTCCACCGTGAGATAAAGTGGACAAGGCATCGAGGATGGTTCTATTAAACCTCTCTACTTGACCGTTAGCACGGGGAGTCGCAACCGCATTTTCAATATGTTTGATACCATATAAGGTGACGAATTCTTTGAACGTTTTACTTGTGAAACTGGTTCCCTTATCAGGGTGCAGTNGTCTCCCCTAGCCAGGGGGGACAACAGGACTGCACCCCTTATCAGTGATGAGGCGTGACGGCATACCAAAGTAACTAATATGTTCTTTTATAACTCTGATAGACGTTACCGATTTGGTGTTTTTAACTGGAGTTATATTAACGTATTTAGTGAACCCGTCGATTATTACCAATAAGTAACAATTTCCTCTTTTGCTTTTTATGAATGGTCCAAGATGGTCTGCATGTACGGTATGAAAAGGGATACTGACTTTTTCTATGGGATGTAGTTCGCCTTCTCTTTTACCACCAGGAGCTTTGTGGTGAGCACATTCGAGGCAAGATGTAACATTTTTTTACGAAACGCCGCATCTTCGCAAACCAATAATGTCTTTTTATGCGCTCTAGAGTCTTATCTAACCCAACGTGACCTACATCATCGTGGTTTCTTTTGACTATCTGCCACCTTACTCCTTTAGGTACAAGCCATTTGAGTTCTTCGCCAACAACGCGGTATACCCGACCGTTTTTGAGTTTGTAATTAGTGACGTAATCTACTACCTGTTTAGAATCTGGATTGCTTAGGGTTTCTTTTATTCGCTTGACTTCTTCGTCTGCGCATTGTACAGTACTAATCCAGTCCTGTCCAAGTTCTTCTAATGCAAACGAATCAAGTACATGGGTCTCAGGTCGGCTACGTCCAACCGGGTTGCGACTGAGTGCGTCGACGTGAGCCATTCGTGATCCGGGTCTGTATTCCACAGAACAATCGTATTCTTGAAGCTGGACCCACCAACGAGCCACTCGTGGAACTATGTCTCGTTTAGTAAGCGTATATCTCAAAGCGTTGCAATCAGTGACGATTTGAAAGGGTATCCCTGCCAAGTAGACACGAAATCTGTTTAGTGAGGCAATAACAGCCAAAGTTTCTAGTTCATATGAGTGTAA